ACACACACAAACACACACACACAAACACACACACAAACACAAACAAACACAAACACACACACAAACAAACACAAACACACACAAACACACACACACAAACACACACACAAACACACACACACACACACACACACACACACACACACACACAAACACACACAAACACACACAAACACACACACACACACACACACACACACACACACACACACACACACACACACACACACACACACAAACACACAAACAAACACACACACAAACACACAAACAAGCACACAAACAAACACACACACACAAACACACAAACAAACACAAACACACAAACAAACACAAACACACACACACAAACAAACACACACACACACAAACACACACACACACACACACACACACACACAAACACACACAAACACACACAAACACACACACACAAACAAACACACAAACACACACAAACAACACACACAAACACAAACAAACACACACACACAAACAAACACAAACAAACACACACAAACACACACAAACACACACACACAAACACACAAACACACAAACACAAACACACACACAAACACACACAAACACACACACAAACACACACAAACACACACAAACACACACAAACACACACACACACAAACACACACAAACAAACACACAAACACACACACACACACACACACACACACACAAACAAACACACACACACAAACAAACAAACACACACAAACACACACACACACACAAACACACACACACAAACAAACAAACACACACAAACAAACAAACACACACAAACACACACACACACACACAAACAAACACACAAACAAACACACACAAACACACACACACAAACACACACACACACAAACACACACACACACACACAAACACAACAAACCAACAAAACAAACCAACAAAACAAACCAACAAAACAAACCAACAAAACAAACCAACAAAACAACAAAAAAAAACGGACACCACACACACAGCACAACCATCAGCCAGCTTAAAACTGACATTTTATTGTATACAGAATTAAACACTATTAAGAAGAGTATAAAAATTTGAACACAAAGAAATTGCATTGCAGAATCCGGAAATGACTTGTGATCACACAAAGAGTTAATCTGGTGTAATAAATGCTGCGGATTTACAACATATTGGGAGGAACTTCTGAAGAACAACATCAGCCGTGTTATCTATACAGAACGGAGGCAACCAGTGTGTAACGCAAGGCCACACACCCGCCATGCTGGCTACACAGAATGAGGGCAGCCAGTGTGTAACGCAAGGCCACACACCCGCCATGTTGGCTACACAGAATGAGGGCAGCCAGTGTGTAAAGCAAGGCCAAACACCCGCCATGCTGGCTACACAGAATGAGGGCAGCCGTGTTATCTATACAGAACGGAGGCAACCAGTGTGTAAACGCAAGGCCAAACACCCGCCATGTTGGCTACACAGAATGAGGGCAGCCGTGTTATCTATACAGAACGGAGGCAACCAGTGTGTAAACGCAAGGCCAAACACCCGCCATGCTGGCTACACAGAATGAGGGCAGCCAGGTTGTAAAGCAAGGCCACACACACACCCGCCATGTTGACAACACAGAGCGGATGAAGTGCTGCGTAAAGCAAGGCCGCACACCCGCCAAATGACATCACTTAGGGGTGACAATTAGATGTTATTTATCCCACAACAGCAACATTCATCCATATAGAATAGACTATGCAAGCATTGGACTGCTGGTTGGGTGACCAATTCAGAGATTGCCCTGTAACCAATAAGACAACAATAAGGACCCCGGAATCTAAAAAGGAAGCACTCTATCATTGGTTTTCTGCTGGAACCTGCACAACGCTGGAACCTGCACAACGCTGGAACCTTCTCAATGACTAAGGAGGTCTCTGAGCGGCAGAGGGAAGTCCAGGATTAAAGGAGAAGGGCATTTATCATTTTATCCTTCTTTCTCTGACCTAGCCTAACCCACCCTTCCACAGATTCATACTTACATCAATCCAACAGCATCGGTTCAGCCCCGTTTACATCCAGCGCTGCAAGTCACCATCCTGGTGGCACCTGCATATTACAGCCCCATGGAATGTCTGATCGTCCGCGGCCCCAGGATATGCAAGGGCTTGGAGCGAATGGGGTTCCCGCTAAGCCTGCGCAAAACTGTCAGTGGCGCATCCCTCTTCGGCCCAATCCCTGCCCAGCAGTTATAGCAGTGGGGATGCCCCAGCCACAACTGATTGGGTCTGGAGGGGGATATGTCACGGACAGTTTTGCACAAACATTGCCCATGCACATCCCTATTGCGTACAGTCCCATTGAAGTCAGATTGAGGCAAGTCTGCATCTGTGTGTGGGGAAGGGGTGTTAGGGCAGGAACCATGAAAAGTTTAGTTTTAAAGCACACTTCTCCTTTAATCATTTGTTTCTCATCATCTGGTGTGCGTTACAAATGAACTCTGCAAAGAGCTGAGAATGGATACTGCTCCAGGAAGTGAAACTGAGCTCAGTGACCACAACCCTAGTGGTCACCCTCTGACACCATTACCTCCATTCTAACTTCTGGGAAGGAGTGAGCATCTGCTTGTGTGAATGGAGCTGGAATAATATCAAATGCAGACAAAGCATGATGATCTTTCAGACTCCTCGCTCAACGTATTCCTGCCCCAACTGTTCATCATAACTAAGATAACACACCTCATTGTGGTGGGGTCCGACCATAGGACAGCAGTACCTTTATGTGGCAGTTGTTGAATAGCACCCGGTCCCAACCTGCACCGAGACAAGCAGCAACTCAAGGCGATGTTGGTGTGACATCACTTTTGCAGTCATGCCATGGCACTGGGTCTGCACAATTGTGCTCTGCTGGCTATAAAAGAGTAGCACAGTATTTAGGAAACAGCACAAAGAAAAAGCCAAAGATTGGTGACATCACAGCAACCGTCAGCTGGATCACCAAAAAGAGGCTGCAGGGGACCGGTCCCATGCAGGAGGAGCCTGTGGGAGCAAGGGAGAAAGGCAAGTAAATGCCCTTTCTGGTACCCTAGACAAAAACAAGTATTTAATCCTTGCCATGCGAGGGGGCGTCTCACTGAAAGGGTATTTTCTTTCTAATTTCCCAAGAGATCAGCTTTAAATGCCTCAAACAGGGAAACTTTGTGCCTGCATAAGACAGCTACCAATCACAGTGCAGCACTGAGTGCTACACCTCCATCAATAGAATCTACAGGTGAAACTCGAATAATTAGAATATCGTGCAAAGTTCATTTATTTCACTAATGCAACTTAAAAGGTGAAACTAATATTGGCAAATTATAATAAATTATCTTAAAGGGAAATTAAAAGTTGCAAGCTTTGAGTTTCTATGCCTGCTGCTGTTGGATAAATGATAGCCATTTAAAGATGAACTCCAGGTTACTTACATCCTTCCCACCCCCTTGCCTTAATAAAAAGGAGCATTATTTATTCCCCAATTACATTCTGAGAAATTGTAAAATTTCATGGCGTCACCACATTTAACGGAAGAGTGTAGGGATGGAAGGAGGGATCAGGCAGGCGCCCACCTCAGATCATTTTTGCCTTTCTGCATGCCTGTGCAAACTAAAATCTATGATGCATCAGGACTTTAATACCAGTAAGCAGAATTGTGGGTGCTGCCAAGTTAAGGCTTACTCCATGGTCTCTGCCCAATCAGCTATTGCCATCATTGGTGGGTGGGACGTCTGAGTAGTCCGGGATCACCCACTGCAACAAGTAGCAACTTCAGAAGACAAGTACAGAGGGGCATTTACATCGCCAGTGGCCATAGGGAAGGAGAGGGCATAGTGGCCACTGGTCTTGTGACAAAAAAAAACCCCCAACAAGGGGCAGGGAGCCCAGGAAAGGAAGAGAAGGGAATTCAATGGCTGCTGAAATAATTGAATGGAGTAACGAATCACGCAAGGCAAAATTGCTTTAATATCTCTGCCCGGAGTTCAGCTTCAATGGTTACCCATTCATTTTGCAATGCTCAAGCAAACGTTACTCGGCGTGCAGGTTCACACTTTTATTTAGTAGTGAATCTGGTCTCTGATTATAACGGATGTGTGAATCTGGTCTCTGATTATAACGGATGTGTGAATCTGGTCTCTGATTATAACGGATGTGTGAATCTGGTCTCTGATTATAACGGATGTGTGAATCTGGTCTCTTGCTATTTTGGAGCCCCTCCTATCCTTCACACGGCTGTATTATTCCCAGCAATTTAATCTCGGCGCTACCAAAAAGGATCAAAACAAAATTGCCCAGTTGGGTTCTAAATATGAGCACCAGCCCACCACGTGGGGTTCGGAAATGAGTGGTTCTGAAACCACTGGAGCGTACAAGTTCTAAAACCAGACAATTGTAATTTTCCAATTAAAAAAAAAAAAATATATCAAATGACGTTGCCGGCCCTCCAAGGCACAGCAACACCACACATGGAAAGACGGCAGTTCATCCTTCAGCGTCACTAAACACTTCGGCAGTCTCAGTCAAGTCCGTACACTGAAGGAAAAATTAACAGAAATTCCATGTAGGCTCCGGCTACCTGAGCGGTGAACGATGACTGGAAAGCAGGCACGCCGTCATGTCCAGGCCTCGATGAGGTCATCGCTCTCCAAGCCAAGCTGGTCGGCTGTGCTTCGTCCATTTAGTTTCCTGCCTTCAAACATGAAGCACACCTTCTTGGTGAGGCCCATGGCAGACTTGTACTGGTCCATCAAAGACTTCAAGGGTTCATTCTGTAAAGAGAGGAGGATGCTGGAGCATGAGTAGATGTTGAGTAGTTGTAGTGCGAGTCAGTTCAATAATGACTGGCAGCACAGTGGCTTAGTGGTTAGCGCTACTGCCTTGCAGGACTTCACAGCACACACCAGTGGCCATGTTCAAACATGGCTGCTGGGGTGTTGAGAAAAATAAAAAGCCTCTGGGCTGCCCTCGGGGAAGGGATCATTTCCTAGGTGGGGGACCCTTTTTTTTTTTTAAATACAAAGTTATGCATCCAGGTGTAGGAGTGTTAGATGACAGTCTGGAGGCTGGAGGTTCCAAAAATAGTCCCTTTGAAAGAGAACTATGGGGTAAGTGTTTCCGCCCCCCCCATAGTTCTAAGGGTAACGGGAGGACACATACTGGCATCATCCCGTGACCCAAAGCTCAGTATATAGGGAGCTACAGCTCGCGGTATAGTGTGACCCCCGCAGCTGGGAAGGATCCTGACATTACTGTCGAGATCCGCCCAGCTGCGTGAGTGACAGCTGGCTCTGCCTATCTAGAGGCAGAGCCAGCTGTACCCGCCCCTCCCATCCGTTACGCCAGTCAGCGCTGGAAGATCGGAGCGGGGTTGAATCCCTGACTGACTGTCACGGCTCTCTGCAGGAAGCTGATCGAGATGTGTTCGTTCACTTACTGATCTATTGAGCTGACCTGTGACAGTTTCATTGTCACAGGTCGGCTCGAACTGTGAGGGTGAGTGATTTTCACCCACCTCATAGTTCTCCCTTTAAGCCCGACCTCCAGCCTTCCCCTTCACTCTTGCAGTTGTATCGGCTCCTCTCCTGGACTGAAATTGCTTACTCTGATGTCCCCGCACGCTGTGAGCTTCTCACAATGTACATTAGAAACATTAGAACTTAGAGATTAGAAATCATCCATTTGATTTCAGTTCTTTCAATCACGGAGGCTCAGCCTCACATGTGGGCAGTGAAATGAGTGCAGGAGGAGAGCAGGTCGTACAACTGTGCAAGACTGACCGCTATGGCAGAGCTCAGATCTATATCACTCACCTTGCCTACTGTGACAGTGAGCTGGGACTGTTTATCCCTCCCCTGGATCTTCAAGCAGATCTTTTCCTCAGTGTGCTCATCATCAGCTTCCTGTCCCCCAGAACTGGAGAGGACCATACAGTCTGCAGAGACAACATGTAAGATGTGATAACTGATTATACAGCATCTACTTAAGACAAAATGCCCCCCAGATTGACAATTTACAGAGGCACCTTTATGTCATTCAATGCCTCTCCATTCTCTCCTCACCAATTATATCGGCCACAGTGAGATTCAGGGACTTTGCGGTCTCCTTGGTATTCAGCTCCTCGTCTCCCCGCAGCAGCATTATCTGTGAAGGGTCCGCGTCCAGATGCGAGGCCACCAAATCCACCAGCCGCTGCAATGGGTCAGTCTGAAAGCCACAAGAGAATAAAAATGGGATTTCTACATCTATAAACAATCCGATCACTTCCTGGATATCAAGATAAGTGGAAAGTTAACTAGAGAGACAAGGAACACATGCCAAGCAACACTAGCACCCCCCCCGTGTCTGAATACTTGTTCCAGCTCACTGAAGAATATGATTCGCCACTAGCACATGCCAACGCATCCTTACTACACGCGAGCGGGCAGATCAAGCCATGCATTATCTTAGGTCTACATTTTGAGGGCCACTAAAGACCTCACCAATCAGATAACCTCACGCACAGAGACTGCTTTGGTGTGCAAGTCTTACCGATAGAAAGAAACCACCGGAGTTGGACACTATGAAGATACAGGGGGAGTGGGATCCATCTTCTATTTCTTTACAGCAATGTTAAAGTTAAACTGTAAGGAAGGGGGGGATGGGGCAGGTTGGAGCCCCACTACAAGGGTAGTTTTAGTTCCCTGAATTTTAACTTGATCAAGTCATTGAACATAGCAAAGGTGTATCATTCCATACTTGTATTGTCGGGGAATATAAAAGATCTCTTAAAGGGCTCATTTAGACTGGCATGCACATCCATCCACAAAGCGTGCACACCCATAAAAAGTCCCTGGTAGGGACAGGTGCTGCGTGTAACTGCGCACAGCAGGCTGTTCTTCCCTATGAGTAGACACAGCTACACATAGTTACACACTGTCACACCCAAACCTGCATATCCGTGCTGGTCCGAGTGCCCGCACTTGAATGCACACTGTCTGCAGCCAAGTACGGGCACCCAGGATTGGGTGTGCAATTGCAAGCAGCTGCGCTCGCTCATAGGGAAGAACGGGCTGTGGCACGCAATTACACTCAGCACCTGCCCCTTCCAGGATAGAGTCATTTTATGGGCGTGCATGCTGTATAGATGTGCGCGCCCATCTGAATGAGCCCAGACACTGCAATTCTGCTTTAAAGGAGAACTATGAGGCGAGTGAAAATCACTCATCCTCGTAGTTCGAGTCGGCGTGTGACAATGAAACGGTCACACGTCGGCTCAATAGATCGGGAAGTGAGCGAACACATAGCACCGCTCGATCACTGTCAGTCATGGCTCCCCGCAGGGATTGCCCCCCTCCCTCGTGCCGATCCTCCAGTGCTGACTGGAGGAACGGACGGGCACAGCTGGCTCTGTCTCTAGATAGGCAGAGCCAGCTGTCACTCACGCAGCTGGGTGGATCTCGACAGTAATGTCGGGATCCGTCCCGGCTGCGGAGGTCTTAGTATACAGTGAGCTGTAGCTCCCTATATACTAAGCTTGGGGTCACGGGAGGACGATAGTTTGTGTCCTCACCTGACCCTTAGGAGAACTATGGGGAAAAACTCACCCCATAGTTCTCCTTTAAGCTAGTATGCATTTTTTCAGTATGTAAGTTACCAGAATGTTTACCTAAACCGCAAAATTATTTTAGTGTTGCTTGCTACCAAGTTTATGTATTCGGTTTCCAGGTCTTAGATAAAATCAGAAGTATCTGTAAAGGTTCGTCAGCTTACCATGCGGATGTTTATACGGAAGATCTTCCCCCTACGACGCACTTTTACAATCAGCTCCGGCACCGTGCTGGCCTCCATCATAATCACATCGTTGTCCTCGTAAAGGTGGCTGCGTTTTGGGGAGAGGACGGTGCCTAGATCCTGCAGGCAGGCTTCCATCTTCCTGACCGCACAGAGAAGAAAAGCTTTAGACTGACACCAATACATTAAAAACTGTGATTTAACCCTTCTGTTGCTGCTGCATGCATGGCTTATGTGGCAGCACCGACATGTATACAAACTCCCAGCTGCTATAGTAGCTGGTTTGCATTTCTACAGTGTGCAACATCAAACTCCCCCCCTGGGCTCACCTGCCCCTTATGGATGCCTGAGAACATTATGGCGAGTGTCAGAAAGGAGAGCAGCCTGAGATTAGGGAACATCCATATGCACGGCATACTTGCACATTATGACACTTGCCTGCTCTCCTCCAAAGATGCGAGGTCTGAGCTCGCTGTATCCAACCCAGCCCCACCGGCGCCATGTTATCTTCCTCTTCTGGGTCCGTCGTCATCTTACTTCCACCATGGGGCAGGCTCTGATTAACTCCTACATATGTGTGCTGGAGTTACAGGGTCTCAGCAACTGGCCTACAGATGCCAGGACTGTACACTGTATTGCACGTGTGCTGCAGCCAGTGTACAGAGTTGTTGGCAGAAGAGATTTGTGAAGTGATACGAAATAGGCAAAAAAAGTTTATTTTTTAACCACTTCCAGGCCGCCATACATCTATATACAGCGACCCGCAGAAGTGGTTAAACCAAGAACAAGGTTGCTGCGGCAACCGTGTTCTTGATGTCGTTTTAAACGGCCAGCGATGGCTGGTAATGTACAAGCCATCCGGCATCTGTAAAGCCACTGGATCATGTGCACGGTGCTGTGTACCCCCCTCCCCGCGGCCAGCGTCGGCTCTCCCCGTGCGGGGTCCAGGACTGGCACGGTGGGTTTTCCCCGCAACAATCGGAGAGAGATTCAGCGGCTTCCAGCTGCTGAACTTTCCTCCGATCCCTGGACCTGGAAGTGAAGTGTATCACATGACTTCCTTTGTCACTGTGCACAGTCTCCGGCTCTTAGAGCCAGGAGAAGAAGCTGGTGAAGCAGATCTCTGCCTTCTCAGCTTCTTTGGGGTCCCTAGGTGACATTAGGGGTCTGATGTCTCCATAAAGAGGACCTGTCACACCCTATCTGCTATTACATAGGGGGCTTGTTGGCCCCCTATGCAATAGCAATAAAGTTAGTGTAAAAAAAAAAAAAAAAAAATAGACAATTTTTAAAATGCAAAACGCTTATGTGCAAAAATGCAAATTGTGCTCCACACGTTACATATTGCCGAAAGTCGCAGTGAGCAATAGTTTTAGGGCCCTCAGTCACCGATAACACTAAACTGATGAGCGGTCAAAGCTTTTAAAATGTCCCCTATGGGAAATTTGGGGTATTGTAGTTTTTTTGCGGCAATTTTAAGGCTTGACGTGTTTGGTATCAACTTACCAGACGTGATCCCGCCTTTTACATTTTACAAAACAAATCAGGTATTAAATTCTGCTTCTGTGCACTAAATTTCATTTCAGTGTATTTTATCCTCAAAATACTGGTTTGATAAACATTTGTGCAAATAACGTGCGGCATAATACATTGCAACTAGCATTTTTTCATTCTACAGGGCCTCCGCCTACAGAAAATATATCATTGTTTGGGGTCTGGAGCCGTTTTCTAGCCCAAAATTCAGATTCTCTTGTGTGTGTGCAAATGTAAGAAATTGCTCCGGAACAGCAAGCGGTTAGAGAACTATGAGGTCAGTGTTTTTCCCCATAGTTCTCCTAAGGGTCACAGAAGAACACAATCTAGCGTTCTCCCGTCACCCAAAGCTCAGTATACCGCGAGCTACAGCTTGCGGTATACTGAGACGCCGGGACGGATCCCGACAATTATGACAGCTGGCTCTGCCTATCTAGAGGCAGAGCCAGCTGCGCCCGCCCCCTCCCCCGTCCGTTCCACCAGTCAGCACTGGAGGATTGGACAGGGTAGGGAGAATCCCTGCAGGGAGCCGTGAGTGACAGTCACGGCTCTCTGCAGGGATAGATCGAGAGGTGAGCAAGCGCTGGTATGTGTTCGCTCACCGCCCGGTCTACTGAGCCGACCTGTGACAGTCTCATTGTCACAGGTCGGCTCAGATTATGAGGCTGAGTGAAAATCACTCGCCTCATAATTCTCCTTTAAGGTTTACTTCCGATTTAAGTCTGAGCAGTCCAGCACTGTGTGGCCAGATGGCAGCCCCGTACCATGCACTGCTGGAAGCACTGGTCAGAATAGCAATATTCCTATTAATATGGAACGAGGAGAGATGAAGGGGCAGCCAGACGTCCGGCACCAGGCTCTATTTCTAACCTCTGCACGCTGCCGAGCTCAGGCCAGAGGCTGAGGAGCCCAACGAAGCTTTGATGTACAAACACTATGTACCTTATTTTACTGTTGAGGGCACCTTTCCTTCCTTTGAGTACTGGAGTGTTTGGAGATGGAGGTGGTGAGGGAGAAGAGTTGCGTATTCTGGGGAAAAAAAAAAAAGGTCAGACGAATATTCAAACATTTCAAACCATGAAAAAAGTGTTCAATTACAATGAACCCAGTGTAACTCCAAATACAATCTCCCCCCCCCCAAGTGTTCTATACACACTGCCAGGACTTAAAACTGAAATCTATGGTTCTTTGCTTTGAAGGGAAAACGGTTTTGTTTCCCCCATGTCCTCCCCCACACTGATTCCTGAATGTGAGGGTCAGCCTTCATTGTAACCACCTGAGCAATCTCAGTGTTCTAATGAGGAAAGCCGCAGAGCCTGCATCCCTTTAAATGTAGGCAGGTGTTAGAGCAGGTGTAGGCAACCTGGGAACTCCGGCTGTGGTGAAACTACAAATCCCCATCATGCATCTGCCTCCGGGAGTCATGTCTGCGGCTGTCAGTCTTGCAATGCCTCATGTGATTTGTAGTTTGACCACAGCTGGAGTGCCCAGGTTGCCTACCCCTGCCTTAGAGAGCATCTTACCACAATACAACTAAATGCTTAAAATTGGAATTCGGGGCAGATTTCTGGGATAACCAGTGAGCCAATCACAGAAGCAGGAAATACGTTTTCTGGGGTTATTTTGGACGCCCCCCATGGCTTAGGGCTCAGACAGGCGCGCACGTCGTAGGAACGGTAAAGACGGGACCCGCACAGGTGTGCAGGTGACCAAATGCAATTGCATGCAGGCCCGTAGGGAGGACAGAGCTGCACGCAATTACATGTGGTCACATGCACACCTGAACATCTATGCTTGCAGTTGGACGCATGCTGTGTGCATCCAAGTGCCAGCACCCGGATCCGTACAGATGTGCAGGTCCAGGTGAGCGTGCGACTGCATCCTCCCATAAGGAAGAACAGTCTGCTTCTCACAATATCACACAGCACCCGTCCCTTTCCAGCTCGGGTCTTTACAGGCGCGCATGCCGCACACGTCTGAACGAGCCCTAAAAAAGAGCAGAACGCTCCATTTTGTGCACAGAGGCTTTACAAGTATCACATTGTTTCAGGAAAGAAGCCCGCAGACCTCAGGAGGTCAGAAATGAGCAATCTGCATGTATTGTCTCCACTTTGTAGAACCCACAACACACGAAAACACGAAGTTCCATGTTACAAATGTCATGCCCATAACAGAAACTGACCGAGCCAGAGAACTGAAATAGAATTTTTAGGCCGAAACTGAAAAATGACCCCCAACAGACCACTCGTATTTCTTTTTTAATTTAGAAAAAGATGGACAGAGTCCTCAATCTCTTTTTCTGTGTCCCCTGTTATCAATGAACAGGAATCCTCTATACTGAGTGTTCCTGCCCATTCATAAACTGGATATTAGTATGAGTTACCAGGTCCACGATCAGGAATGAACAGGAAGTGATGTAGAGCACTTCCTATTTATTCATAACTGGGGACACAGTAGACACTCTATCCTCAGTTATTTACAAACACTCAGTGATGAGTTCTGATCGCTGAGTGCTTGTACTTGCTGTCACAGGAGGCTGAGCGGGTCGGTGCGGGAGGGGAGCTCAGCCTCCCGACAACTCACTGCTCCCCGCTCTCCATCCAGACTCTCCGCCTGTCACAGGAGGCTAAGCCTGGCGGTGCGAGAGGAGAGCTTGGCTTCCAGTGACAGCTGTCATGGCATCCTGAGCGGTCTCCTTCCTGAAACCTTCTCCTCCCTACTAGACGCCACTCTGTGTCCCCTCAGATCCCCCGTGCCTCTGTCGACAGAGCAGCGGGCATCAGAGGGGACACAGACTGGTGCCCAGCGGGGAGGAGAGACGCAGTCAGCATGCACTGAATTTTCGGCCGTTATGGTACTTCGGCATTTTGCCCAAAGTACCATTTTCAGCCAAAACGTTTCGTCGGCTGAAATTTCGGTGCATCCCTAATGTGAACATCTTAATGAACTCGAGCATGGAATATGGCAATCACCTTTCATGAACAACTTCAGGCTGCTGGCTATCCACATCCTCGGTGTCTGATAATACAGGTTGGGGTGCCGGAACCGTCACTGGCAGAGGGGGTTCAATGGCTTCATTGCCGAGGTCTGCAAATACAAAGAACATATAGGAGTAAGCGGGGTTTGTACAGTCAATGCAACCAGATTAGAAGATGGCCACGCAAACTCCAGCCGTGGTGAAACTACAAATCCCATGACATCTGCCTCTGGGAGTCACACCTGTGGCTGTCAGAGACTTGCAGTGCCTCATGGGACTTTTAGTTCCACATCAGTTGGAGAACTGAAAGTTTGGCTACACAAGTTTTAAGAGAACATCCAAACTATGACTTGCCACTCACTGTCCCCTCGCCTCAAAGAGATCATTGATAACAGAGCAGATGCCTTCATCCTTTGGGGACCCTGATACAATGAATGGCATGCAAGTATGTTGCACTATGATATGAGAAAGTTCCCATGGACAGTTTGGATCCACTTTAAGGCCTCATTCACACGAGAAAAGGTCAGCACGTACAGCTCCGTGGTGCGTGCACGGCGGTATCGCTCAGCTCCCGGAAAGGACAGGTGCTGCGTGTGATTAGTACGCAGCCCTCGTCCTTCTCTATGGCCCGGTTCACACATGGGCGTTTTGTAGCGCGTTCGAACGCTCTGCAGAACGCTAAAAGACCTAAATTCCAACATTTCCTATGGGTATGGTTCACACCTGGGCGTATTATAGGCCGTATGAACAAACTGTCCTACGCCCAAAGAAGTACAGGAGCTTCTTTGGGGCGTTTGTCGCGCGTTTCCATTGGGATACAGCCAAGTAGCCCTCGGAAAAGCGTGTTAGTCGCGCGTTTTTTTTTAGTCGCGGTAAAAACCCGCCTCACGAAAAGCGCAAAGTCGATACGCCTAGGTGTGAACCCAGCCTATGAGAGTTCGCTGCCATAGGCCACCATACGTTCGTCCCAAGTGCAGGTCCGTGCGGGTGCGTGTTTCCTGGCTCAGACGCAGACCGGATCCACCCCGTCAGCGTACGAGTACAGACACACGGACGGGTGAGCGTAGGGTGGCGTACGGCAGTGTACTCCCATAGAGAAGGACGGGAGCTGCGTAGTAATCTCATGCCGGCCTCTTACAGCATTCACAAAATTTGTCACAAGTCATTTTTATTCATCTGCCGCCAGTCTGGTCATGTGACTAGTGATGGGCTCGGGCGTGTTCGCAGCTCCCCGTGCCGAGCCCGCCAGGAAGCCGACAGCGCCAATCATTGGTGCAGAGACATTATTCCGGTCCGCAGGTGCAGAGATCGGGATATGTCTCAGTGCCTGTGATTGGCGCTGCCAGCTTCCTGGCGGGCTCGGCACGTGGAGCTGCGAACACGCCCGAGCCCATCACTACATGTGACCCGACGTACCGTCACAGCCTTGCTTTTTCTGCAGCTCCTTCTCCATCGCGGCCACGGTGCTGACATTGTCCGGGAGCAGCTTCAGAGAACTGTTCACCTGTAGAGAACAAGGGAACGGGGTTAGACCCACAGCGCTGTGTAATCTGATGACTACGGCTTCAAGGGCATCTAAACCTAAAGGCAACATTTTTATATATTACAGCTTGCCAGTCTTTAGATAGGATGGCTGCATTCGTTTTCATTTTTTAATCCTTTATTTTCCCCTGGTGACCCGGGCTTGTACATTTGTAATGTTTCTACTTCCTATACTGGGCCAATCTGTCCAGAAAAGTGGCAGAGAGAGGGTTGAGATAAACCCTTTAACACCGATAGGGGGGCTTACAATGGCCAGCTTTTATGTAAAAAAACTTATCCAAAAAGCAAGGGGCAGCCCTAAAATTTTCACTGCCTGAGGCTGGAGGTGGTGCATGTTACCGGGGGGGGGAGGTTGGCTGCCTGGTACTCCTCTGGCCTCTAGCCAAGCTCAAGTTGCAAGGACCTGGGTGGGACACCAGCCAGATCATCCTACCTCAGCTCCTGGCACCCGGTGACGTTAGCGAGCTGCTGGCCAAAGCATCAAAGGTTGCCAGGCGCTCTGGGCAACCTGGGATGCTCTGGCCCCACGTGACCCAATGGAGGAGCCGCTTGAGGCAACTGCTTCATTATAGGGACGGCTCTGCCCAAAAGGAAATTTAAAAAATTGTTACTGTAACTCTTTCAAAAGTGTTTTCTGGAGCTCATCTATTAGAGCCCAATTATCACCTTTCCACTTCCAAGAAGCTATTCAAGCGCAGATTGTGCCGGAATAGCTTCAGCCGGGGAGTGGCAGCTGCCAGTAGCAGTATTCTGCAGCAGGTAGCTGAATGTAAACAGCAGGCAGTGGACCGGTGCTGTATCCAGCCTGCTATTTCAAACTGCAATAACGAATTGCAAGCTGGCTACTGCACCCGCTCACTGCCTGCTGTCAAATCAGCAGAGGAGGGGCTTGAAGAAGGGGGGGGGGGGTAGGTTTGGGGAGCTCTCCTCACCGTTGGGCATGGGCTGCAGGGTGCCTTCGTCCTCTCTAATTCTTGTTGGGAGCAGCGGTGATCGGAGGGGATGCAGCCGATGAAACACTGGATCCCAGCTTGGAGGAGAGAACTAGGGGACCCAGACCAACTAATCAATGAGAATGGTTGTCAACTATTCTGGTTATTGATTAGTTGGTTGCAGCCCTAGAGCAATCCTAAGACCAGAAGTGTGTTACCGGCCAGATCACCAGGTGACAATAAAGAGCCTAAAATAGAAACGTGATGCAGATCTGAGGACCTGTAAGCAGCAATGGGAAATATTTGTTTTCAGGTTTAGATGCGCTTGAACTCTGGGCAGATCTAGAAAACAAATGCCCAATCAATGCGGCAGAACAGTGCGACCTCAAAGCCTCATTACCTTATTGGAGTACACCGTGGATAAGATGGGGGCGGTCCTAGGAAAGATCCTGCGGCGTTTCGGCTTCTGAGGCAACACGACTGCAACATCGCTATCGCTGCTGTCTTCACTCTGCAAACATGAATGGCCATTAACCCGCAAGAAGCCAACAGTCGCTTCACCTCCAATATCCCACCATGACCCCCTCCCATCCACCCGCCATTTATGAGGAGTATAGAGCGCTGCTAGACTGTAAAAGAGAACACGCCCCCATTCACATTGTGGTAGCACAGACCATTCATTTAAATGGACCGTATCTCATTCGCATGACCCACACCACAATGTATTGGTTTGGACCAAACCCAGGCTGACACCAAGCTCCTCTGTGCCCACAAGTAGCTCCCCCCAAACACAGAACAAACTCCTGTGCAACCCAATCAGTTGCAGGCAAGGAATTCCCCACCCACAGCCTAACCTAAGAAGGGGCGGGGAGATGTGGTGATGTCATTGACCTTATATGGCTACATGCCTAGATTTGATTAATGACATTGACCCATGTGGCCATACAAGGTCAACGTCATCAGCCCCCTTTGTTTACATGGGGCAGGAGGAGCCCAGCTCGCAACTGATTGGGTAGAACTTGTTCGGGGGAGCTCGGTCCAAACCTAAGACACCAAGCATTGTGGTGCGATGCAATGCACATTTCAATGCAACAGCTAGTAATGCACACCCCCCCTCCCCCCAAATCTGTTAGGGCTATTCAGAATCGGATGGCCATAGATGGCAAATGGGATTTATCCCAGGGACAGGTCCCGACACCCACAGATGGTCCCTGGAGGCCAGGGTCACATGACCTGCTGTTATCCAGCATTTCCCAGTCACGTGGATCATGTGCACTGGGCATTGTCCCTGGAAACCATGTTGACAGCTTGACAGGTGACCATTTTTGGCCACCAGGCTGGTCTCACATGACCCTGTCTGCCAATAGACTACTCTCATATGATCCTCTTAAGGTGACATGAACCCCCCCGACTGGACTTTTAGTGCCACCCCAGAAAGGTTGCTCCAAGGAAGAGAGTACAGACAGCGGCTTCTAGGGCCAAGGCCTGTCTCTCCCCGTGTATGAAGTAAGGACCGGTCGGTGTACAGTACGGAACATACTCACACCGCCAACCTCAACTCTCTCCGCCATCTCCATGCCGGGCTTATATCCTCCCACGCCGATTGGCCCAGCCTTCCCGTCACTCGACGATCAGGCCCGTTCATTGGACGCTTTGCGCGTAGACCCGCCCCTTCCACGGCGGGCTGGCGGCGAGGCATGACGGGAGATGTAGTCCCTTCTGACAGGACGCGGCGAGTGCCAATAGGATGCGGGACACGTGACTGCAGGGAGACGTGGTTGCGCAATACATGGGCTGCGGCTGGTGATAGCAGAAGCCTGAGCTCAGCGATAAGAGCGGACCGCTGTTTATCCACTGACCTGGAGGGAGGAGCCTGATGAAAAATACCAGTTATCGCACATTATGTGAAATGGACACTAAACCTCACAAGGCCACTATGGCATTGAGCTAAATGGTACAGTGCGCTAGGTGAACTTCTCATTATGGCCACTAGAGGGAGCTGAGGAGCATAGGGAATAAGTATTATTATTATTATTTCGCTGAGGAGCATAGGAAATAGTTATGGCCACTAGAGGGAGCATAGGGAATAAGTATTATCATGGCCACTAGAGCAATCTGAGGAGAATAGGGAATACATATTTTTATGGCCACTAGAGGGAGCTGAGGAGCATATGAAATAGTTATGGCCACTAGAGGGACCATAGGGAATAAGTATTATCATGCCCACTAGAGGGAGCTGAGGAGAATAGGCAATAAATATTATGGCCACTAGATGGCGCTGAGGAGCATATGGAAGTACTATTATTATGGCCACTAGAGGGAACTGAGGAGCATAGGAAATATTTATAGTATATGTTCCCCATTGCCATCTAGTGGTCACAATATAGAACTACAGGAAAACACATTTCCTTGTGAAGAAAAGACAAAAGAACATTGTTTTTGGCATACATGCGCACAGAGCGATTCATTTTATATACCTCGTTCACAAAAAGCACAGTTTATGATCCATTATCCTTTAATGGATGGCCAAAAATTGCCTTACTCTGCTTCAGCAGGCATGGAGTGCTAATTACCTACCGCATCATACCTGTGATGTGATCCGGGTGAAGCCGCTACACATGTACTAGGCGTCAGCGCCGCAGGGTGCCCATCCCGTGCAGAGTCTGGGGGTTCCGGATTTTCAGTCTTCATTTCCAGACAGTTGGGATCCTCCTGGACGACCTCCGAGCAAATGGGGTCCTCGGCAGGGACCTCCTCCACATCTCGTGTCACATCCACCACAGTGGGATCGCTGAGAGGAGTTTTCGGGAGCTGGTGACAGGATGGATGAAAGCGTTAAGTGATCAGAAATAGAAGAGGAGTCATTGCAGAGTTTATTGGTGGGGATTAAATATGTAAAGTTACACAATTCACAACGCAGCTGGAAAAAAAAAGGCTTTTTTGACACAACTACCAGTTTCTTCCGAAGTGTTCATAGATAGGCAGAGCCAGCTGTCACTCCCACAGCTGGGTGGATCCAGACAGTAATGTCGGGATCCGTCCCTGCTGTGGCATCTCAGTATACAGGAAGCTGTAACTCGCAGTATACTGATCTTTGGGTGACGGGAGGACGCTAGTTTGTGTCTTCCCGTTACCCTTAAGGCCGTGACACACTGCACGCGAAGCCGTGCAGAGCGAAGCAAAGCTATCCGGCACGGAGCTTTGCGTGCAGTGTGTGAGCTGAGTGCAGTCAGATGATTGACTGCACCTTCAGCCAATCGGCTCGTCCGTAGCAACCAGCCAGCTGTCGCATACCGACGCGCTGGTTTATTCGCGCGAGTAAGAGAGTACAGACAGCGGCTTCTAGGGCCAAGGCCTGTCTCTCCCCGTGTATGAAGTAAGGACCGGTCGGTGTACAGTACGGAACATACTCACACCGCCAACCTCAACTCTCTCCGCCATCTCCATGCCGGGCTTATATCCTCCCACGCCGATTGGCCCAGCCTTCCCGTCACTCGACGATCAGGCCCGTTCATTGGACGCTTTGCGCGTAGACCCGCCCCTTCCACGGCGGGCTGGCGGCGAGGCATGACGGGAGATGTAGTCCCTTCTGACAGGACGCGGCGAGTGCCAATAGGATGCGGGACACGTGACTGCAGGGAGACGTGGTTGCGCAATACATGGGCTGCGGCTGGTGATAGCAGAAGCCTGAGCTCAGCGATAAGAGCGGACCGCTGTTTATCCACTGACCTGGAGGGAGGAGCCTGATGAAAAATACCAGTTATCGCACATTATGTGAAATGGACACTAAACCTCACAAGGCCACTATGGCATTGAGCTAAATGGTACAGTGCGCTAGGTGAACTTCTCATTATGGCCACTAGAGGGAGCTGAGGAGCATAGGGAATAAGTATTATTATTATTATTTCGCTGAGGAGCATAGGAAATAGTTATGGCCACTAGAGGGAGCATAGGGAATAAGTATTATCATGGCCACTAGAGCAATCTGAGGAGAATAGGGAATACATATTTTTATGGCCACTAGAGGGAGCTGAGGAGCATATGAAATAGTTATGGCCACTAGAGGGACCATAGGGAATAAGTATTATCATGCCCACTAGAGGGAGCTGAGGAGAATAGGCAATAAATATTATGGCCACTAGATGGCGCTGAGGAGCATATGGAAGTACTATTATTATGGCCACTAGAGGGAACTGAGGAGCATAGGAAATATTTATAGTATATGTTCCCCATTGCCATCTAGTGGTCACAATATAGAACTACAGGAAAACACATTTCCTTGTGAAGAAAAGACAAAAGAACATTGTTTTTGGCATACATGCGCACAGAGCGATTCATTTTATATACCTCGTTCACAAAAAGCACAGTTTATGATCCATTATCCTTTAATGGATGGCCAAAAATTGCCTTACTCTGCTTCAGCAGGCATGGAGTGCTAATTACCTACCGCATCATACCTGTGATGTGATCCGGGTGAAGCCGCTACACATGTACTAGGCGTCAGCGCCGCAGGGTGCCCATCCCGTGCAGAGTCTGGGGGTTCCGGATTTTCAGTCTTCATTTCCAGACAGTTGGGATCCTCCTGGACGACCTCCGAGCAAATGGGGTCCTCGGCAGGGACCTCCTCCACATCTCGTGTCACATCCACCACAGTGGGATCGCTGAGAGGAGTTTTCGGGAGCTGGTGACAGGATGGATGAAAGCGTTAAGTGATCAGAAATAGAAGAGGAGTCATTGCAGAGTTTATTGGTGGGGATTAAATATGTAAAGTTACACAATTCACAACGCAGCTGGAAAAAAAAAGGCTTTTTTGACACAACTACCAGTTTCTTCCGAAGTGTTCATAGATAGGCAGAGCCAGCTGTCACTCCCACAGCTGGGTGGATCCAGACAGTAATGTCGGGATCCGTCCCTGCTGTGGCATCTCAGTATACAGGAAGCTGTAACTCGCAGTATACTGATCTTTGGGTGACGGGAGGACGCTAGTTTGTGTCTTCCCGTTACCCTTAAGGCCGTGACACACTGCACGCGAAGCCGTGCAGAGCGAAGCAAAGCTATCCGGCACGGAGCTTTGCGTGCAGTGTGTGAGCTGAGTGCAGTCAGATGATTGACTGCACCTTCAGCCAATCGGCTCGTCCGTAGCAACCAGCCAGCTGTCGCATACCGACGCGCTGGTTTATTCGCGCGAGCCGATTGGCTGAAGTTGGAATTGTTGATCTCGGCACGCTCAGCTCCGCGAGCTCTCGCCAGCTGAGGTGCCCAGGAGAAAATGACATGACACACTGCTCACAAAGGCAGCGCGCCACCGCTCCGCGCCGCTTCGCCTGCAGTGTGTCACGGCCTTTAGGAGAACTATGGGGAAAAGCCCTGACCCCATAGTTCTCCTTTAATGTTAAAATGTAGTGTGTTGTAATACATTATGGCCACTAGATGGAGCTGAGGAGCTTATTGTATTTCCTATACTCCCCAGCACCATCTAGTGGCTATAATGTGGTATTACAACACAACGTTTAGATATGATGAAGATCCCTGCAAATTGTCTATACGGTAGATGTGTGCTGGTCCCCATATAAAAGGGCGTCACATAGGTATAAGGGTTACGCTCTACATGTCAAAAAAAGGAAACGTCTCCATGTAGGCCTGGGGCAGGCAAACTATGGTCCCCCAGCTGCAGTGCAGCTACAAATCCCCATCGTGCTTCTGTCTGTGGGAGTCATGCCTGTGGCTAGCAGAGTCTTGCAATGTCTCATGGGACTTGTAGTTGCAGCACAGCTGGAGGGCTGGCGTTCGCCTACCCCTGATGTAAACAATAGGACCTACTGATGGTCTCGAATATTCAGGATGAACAGTGGTGTGTTATACTAGTTGACGTGTGGGTCACCTCATCTCAGGTCAGGTACCTCTTGACATGTGTATTCACTGGGTTAGACCCCAGTGAATACACCCCCCCC